TATGGGATTAAGATTTGTGGTCAGTGACTCACTTGACCACAGGCTGCACAGAGGACACTTTTATTCACAAGCCCTTTCTCTGGCACTTGGCTCCTCTCTTCTCTCATCCTCTCCATTATCCTGGGATGGTGCAGGACAGCTACTTTGGCTTCATGCCTGAGTCAGCCTCTGAGTTCATGTCTGAGCAGACCTGCCCAGTGTGCTGCCCAAGCATAAAAGCTGTAGTGACCCTCCTGCCCCAGCTCTGCATGAGTGTCCTCTGCAAACTGGCACAGCAGAAACTCAGACCCTAGACTTGTCAATAAGTGACTTTCTAGCATCCCCTCAGTTCAGTCTCCTAGGGATGGTCATCCCAGATGTTACTGCACAACCATCCTTGACTAGATCCATTTAGCAAAGATCAATAGTCTAAAACACTTTAGTAGTAAAGGAAAATAGCAAAGTGATATTTTCAGACAGGAGAAAACTGGTTAAAATATTTTCTACCATCTCAAAATAAGTTTGTATAATACAGCTGACATCTCTTCTGTGGTACAACACTGGTTGTGTTCAAGCTGAAACCATGGGGATGGGAGGAGAAAGTGCTGTGTCTTTCTGAGCCAGTATTTCACCTGCTCTGTCACTGCCCCCAGGAAACCTGCTGGAGCAGAGTCTGGAAAGAAAAAAATCCTTCTACTGGTAAGGCCACCTGTGTGCCACAGGATCTGTGGCAGCTTGGGATGGACCAATAGCTTGTTGATTACTCAAAAATCTCAGATTGCTGAGGAACACCATTTTTCTTATTCAATTCATGTGATTTGGGCTAAAAGGGGGGCATCCTGAACATAGTTGGGTGCTGATATGGCAGCTCCCAAATTTGCTGCTGATCCAGGCATCACCTCCCCTGACTCAAAGCAGAAGCTGGAGCAAGGCAGGGCCAGCAACACACCGTCTGAGACCCTGGAAAGGCAACAGCCTAGCCTCTGCATTCCCTGGCAGGAAATACCTATATGTGAAAAGATCTGCCACAGCCCAACTATGGCATGAGTGGGGGAAAAAAGATACTACCAGGTGAGGTATTGAGTGGTGTTTTTCCTGTTAGAGCAAAAGAATAAATTGCTTCATTCTGACTCATTCCAGTACAATAAATGGAGAAAGAGAGCAGCTCCTCACTGTACAGGCATTGCTTCATTCTGACTCATTCCAGTACAATAAATGGAGAAAGAGAGCAGCTCCTCACTGTACAGGCATGGCTGGAATGTGCTTTTCGGGTATATTTTAGAAATGAACTCTGGTAAAGAAATGTGGAATTGAGTGATGTGGGAATAGTAGTGGGGGACTTGGGAGGAAGATCTTTATTATTTTTTCCTCACTTGTATAGCCTTCCTAATTAATATTAATGAAAAAGCTGTAACTTGGTAGTTACTTTGTATGACTAAGAGCAGAGTTTTCTACAATACAATCTAAAGCATTTAAGCAAATCATTAGCAAAAAAAAAGAAAAAGAAACTAAATAGGAACATGAAATATGTCTTCTAGCAAGTCCTGAAACAGGTCTTTCAGGCCACGGTGCAGATATTTCAAATGTGTCAAGAGTAGGCTGACATTTCTTTAAGTCAAAAGGAAAAAGAAATGGCTATCATGGGAATCGAGCTGCACCATTCGCCTCTTCATCACCCTGATGTACAACAGAAGGCTGAGGCTTATTTACAGGAAGCTTGAACTGAAACTGCTAACTTGTGTGTACCTTATTGACGCTTTGCTTCTCCCGCAGGAGGCAGAACGCCAACCTTCCCAACACCCACTGCTATGGGCATTACTCAGCTGAAAGTTAAGAGAGGCCTGAACCACACCTCCCCCTGTAGCATGCTATTAAACTGATAAACAGTATTGATAGCAATCCTTGGGAAAAAAATATTTATAGATAGTCCTCTGCCTGTTTTTACTAGATTAATACACGGCTCCAGCCATTCCTCATTGATGGTGAACATCTGGACACAGAGAATCTCAATTTTGCCGTGTCACATCACGCCTCATTCGTGCAGCCAGGCAGAGAACACATTCACTAATCCTGGACTATTAGGATCCAAATTAGTGCACAGACCTGCAATCCCAGCTGAAACATGGGCTAGAAATAAAATCAGCTACGACTGAATTTAGGCACAATTGTTTTTTCCCATGTTCTAACAGGGAGGGTGGTGTGTGCTGCTGTGCTCGCCCAGGACTCTCTGAGAAGTGTAACAGGAGTTCAAAATTCTGATGTGCAGTCACAAATAGGGCTGTATCTAATATACCTGGTGTTAGACTGAAGATGAGGATTCATAAAGAATACCATTTAAGAAACAAGGACGTGTTAGTGTGGGGCAAAATGCACTCCTTGTGCCAGTGTTTTGGCTAAAAACAGGCCAACAGTGTGGATTTCTTTATACTACCCTCCTGTAAATCAGAAATGCTCCTATTTTGTCAGCTAGTTTTGCTGGCAACTAGTTGAAGATTTATATTATGCTTAATTTCAGTCTTTAATTTTAACAGCAAGAGAAGAATCTGAATCCATGTTTTTCCCAAGGCCTAACTGAAGTGATCTGCTTGTGCCAGCTTAATTCCTCTCACCCACAGACCCTGGAGCTTCAGAGCCATCCTAGGACACAACAGCACTTGCCCACAAATAAGAGACATGCTGCCTCTCTTGTGTTCTGCACCTTCCTAGAAAACTTTCAAGACCTGTATGAAAACATCTCATTACTGTGTGCACAAATATTCTCCATCTTCATATGGTGTGCATTTTAAAGTCCTCTTAATGTGCACCTTCCTTCAGAAGAAAAAGGTGTAAACCAAAAATGAGCTACAATTCTTCAGCTCTTAAGGCAGCATACAAAACATAATGTGGGTTGCACAGCACCTGTAAATGTAATTAATATTGCAAATTTGCATGCTTACTTCTAGGAACAGAAGGACTGCAATATTCTCTAGCTTCAGTTTTCAGCTTGCCTCTGATCATTCCTAAACAGAAGTATTGTGGCTAATTCTGTAGATACTACATGAAGAGAAAAGATTAAAAGGAAAAATGTATATAATAAGATAGGCTCTTAATTGCGCAGTATACCTTAATGAAATAATTATTATTCATAAAATTAATCAGCCTGTGAAGTGGTTTCCCTGCAAGGCACCCAATTAAAATAATGGCAATGAAAAAGACTCCCTGGTGCATGTGCCCAGCACCTCTGACAATCTGGCCACCTCAGCTAAGGACAACAGTACCAAGCTGTGAAATGAGCCCCAAGTGGGCTTTTACTGCAATCATTTGGTTTAGGTATTCAGCGCTTGAAGCCAGCTGTACTGTGGTTTTTTTAAGGAAAATATTCTTCCCAGAGGACCACAGGCTGCTGTCCTGTTCCTGGATGGATTCAATAACAGCTTTGGAAGGATGGAGACACAGCAGCAGTGAGGTCTGCTCAAAGGGGGACAGGCTTGCAGCAAAGGGAGGCGAGAACCATCTGTTCTTTTGAGATTGGACATCACTTCTTAGTCTCATTCCTCACTTTGTGCTGAGCATAGTGAAGGTTTACACCTCAGCAAGGGCTTTAGTGGACCCCAGTCATTTGCAGGAAGCTTTTTTTGCAGAAGATTCCTACATTCTTGCTGGTTTGTATGTCTCCTCAGCCTGGGATATCCCAGGTGTGGTGACTGGTTTACATTTGTGAGCCTTGCTGAGGACAACAGGGTGCCCCAAGCACTGATCTAGGAGAGACAGCCTTTCCATGTACTGCTGCCATAGAAGGGGCTTGTAGAGAAAAAACTATTTGGAGTTAAATTTATTTAGCTCAAGGAAGTACTACGGCATAAGTGATCTTTTCACATTACCTGCAACATGTCTTATCTACTGACCTTCCAAAACATAAACGTTGCAGGAGAAGTTAACTCCCTGTTAATTTTAATTTTCTTAATTGGTTTTTTCCATTTTCAGACCCAGAATATTTTCTTAGCCTTGTGCAGCCCTTATCATGTCTTCTACAAGAAGATACCAACAATAACAGATAAGGATGACTAACAATTATTTTTTATTTGTCTTTCAAATGTGAGGCAGGTGATTCTCTGCTGCTGAATCCTGCAAAGCAGGTTTAAATACCAAATCTGAGCTTTCTGAAGGAGTGAAAGGAAGATTAGGCTGGCTAAAGAGACAACTTTCTCTTAGTCTTTTGGGAAAAGTTAACCCGTACCTCTGTATTACAAGGCACAAGCAGATGGAAGAGCTCCAGCTGAGTCACTGCTTCTCTGAAAAGGCTCAGAAACAAGGTACTGCATCTCCAGCTGCATGAAATCACCTCTGAGGATAAACCTGACCTGGTAAGACCTAGCCATGCTCTGGTGCTGCAGGATTTGGCTCAACACCAACAACCAAACTCCTCAATTCTCATCTGATTCTCATCCCAGCTGAGACATGCCGTGGTCTCAAGTTCCTTGATGCAGATATCACCCACCATTTGATTTACAAATAAACCAGAAATGCCTATAAATTCTTACCCACCTTATTTTCTAAACAAGGCTAAGGTGGGGTTTTTTTCACTTCTTCTTGTATGGTACTGTAGAAGGATCACCCAGAGCCTTCAGTCCCTTCCAGACTAAGGAAGAATTTTCTTGGTGTGTGGGGATGCTTTTCTTTTTCTTCTTTGTTTCAGGCATCTGTATAATACAGGGAGACTTTATGACTCACGTGTGCACCAATTTTTAACACATACCCTGAGACATCCAGGAGAGAGGCTCCTTTGAGAAAGTCTCACAGTGGCTGCTTTAGCTTTGACAATGGCGTTTCTGCGACCAAAGGCTCCCACCTGAAAAATGAAATGCCCACAAATCAGCAAGATAAATACTGCAGCCTTTCCAGTTCTCATTGGCAGGATACTTACAGAGCCAGCCAACTGCTCTAAGAGCTTTCCCGGTAGAAGTGCACTCAGGGAACACTCTGCCAGCGCTCAAAAGGCAAAAACCAACATTTAATCATCTTAGGAGAGTGGCTGGCTGGGCTGCTGTGAAGTGAAATTAAAAACTTACAGTCCGAACATCACACCATCAGTAAGCCAATACCCTCCAATACCAGTTGCTGGTAGAAATCTGAAAAAATGGGTCTGCCCCACAGCACTTTTCTGGCTGGAGAGCAGCTGGGCACAGCTGGAAGTGCACATCATCCTTCCATGCTGTAGGCATCTTCTGAGCCAAAAGAGCTCAAATGCTGACTGTAGTGTGAGAGCATGGCAAAGGTAGTGAAGAAAACCAATCAAATTACATGACTGCTCTGATATTACATTTATGTTTTAATAGTACTTTCTATGCTTTGGAAAAGTCTGCTGCAATAGCTGATAAATTTATCCTTTCTGAAATTCAATACTCAGAATTCTCGATTTCCCTGCTGTATTTAATAGGGAAGATACAATGCTAAGACAGATCCCTAAATCAATATTTCCTTTTGTACCAGTGAACTGCCAAAGGCAGTGGAAACAACCAGAACAGGAGGTTAGACTGCAGGCTAAAAGCATGTTCCTTTAAAATGTCCATGTCCCCCTGTCTTGACTTTCATCTTGATGCATGAAGAAATTGAGAAGATCTATCATGCAGCTTTTCTCCATTTCTCTAGTGTCCATCTGCTGACCATGGCTTTGCATTTACAGTGGTCTGAAGTCAAGATCAAGTTGGTGAAGTTTTGACCACCTGCAGGCAAAAACACGAGAAAAACGTGCTTGTTTGTTAAATATTCATCTGAGGCTTGAAACTCAGGATTAAATTCTTTTATCTCCCACAGAATCACAATGGATGGCTGGGGAAACAATTCAGCTCTGCGCCCTGGATTCCTTTTCCTTGTATAAACCCTGCCAGGTTTCAGGCCTTCTGTGTCTATCTTCCAAACAAACAATACATAAAGAATTCGCACACCCTGAATTCTCCCTGACTCTCAAAGCATTGTCTATTGCCTAACTCTGTGAAACACTGCAGCATCCAAGTCCTAAGGTAGCACACTTGTGGAGGGACTCTGATCTTTGAAAATGTGGCTGAAAGAATGAGATGTAAAGCACTGGGTATCAGGATTATACTGGAACACACACCAGAATTATTGTCCAGAAAAAGCTGATGGGAATCTGATTATATTTATTAGGCCTCTATATCCTCCCTTTGCTTTAGCTACTTGTCTATTAAGCAACCTCCTCAATCAGATGACTTCTTCCTGCCTTCTCCCATCCATCTCCACTGTATTCCAGCAACAAGACACTTGGGCTACTGGTGAGGGTCCAATATCAGTTGCCTTCTTTCCTCACACTACCTTTATGCATCACCTCCACTCTCCACTTGTCATTCACTTCAGTGCAATGTTTTCAATCAAAGGCTGTCCAAGGCCAAATGGGGAGTGAAGGGAATTGATGTTCTTGACATGGAGCCTCCTGTTTTGATGCATTTTTTTCAATTTACCATTAATGTGTTGGAAATTGATCTCTTGGACAATCCATTTGTTTTCTCCACCAGCAGGATGGAGAAGCAGCCTTTCATATCATGTTCAGATAGGGCAAAAAAACAGGCAAAGCTTAAAGTCACTTCAATCTTTTTCCTTTCCAGATGTTTTCCAGGTTTGTGCTTAATAACTGATCTGATTTTCCATCCACAAGTCACACAAAGAAATTTTCAAAGCCATACCACGTTTGTTACCTATAGCTATTCTCCTACATCTAATTATACTAGCAGGGCATTAGCAGGTATGTTTTAAATAATGAAGCTGAAAAGAGAGTCAAATCCTGAAGATGCACAACCCTTCTTTTCAATATTTAAGTATCATTTAATATATTTGCCTGTTATGGTTTTGCCCTATTGCATATCTACTGATTTTGTGACAGTACATTCATCCTGACACTACAGTCACCCACACATTTCACAGGTATCTTCCAACTCTGGAGACACAGAAGTGAAGCAGAAACCCTCTATAATAACTACAGGACAAATCTGTCAAGGTGCCTTGTGCTATTTTACATATACCCTGAATGTCATGATTCATGAGGAGAAGGACAAGGTCCCTGACAAGCTGAGCTCTATTTCTTCCTTTTTCACAGAAAGTTCTGCTTTCTTTGCAGCACTGGTAAATCACTCCCCCGTTTCCTTCTCCACACCCCTAACATCCATACTGGCTCTTGAGACAGGGCAGTTTTATGGGATTCCCTGACACTCTCCATTGGCAGTGCCTCGTGCAAGAAGCTACCATAAGTGACAGGAGCCTCTAGACCCCACAGTCATAAAATAATGGTCTCTGAGCAGCACTGCATGCCCTGCATCTGTCTTGCCCAGGAGATGTATAACCAGCAGCTTCAGTTTGCCAGCCCTGCTTGCTGATGGTTTTTTAACAGGAGAAGCCAAGTGTTGGAAAGAAACAAAAGCCAGGAGTCAAGGGTGACCCCAGCACAGGCAGAGCAGTAACCTCAGCAGCCAGGGAGCAGCACCACAGCACCCAAATGAGGTAGGCAGAGCAGGGAGCTGGCAGTGGGTTTCTCTAAGCAGGCAAAGTCACAAATCAGTCCTGTGGATCTTTTGGGGGATCAAGACAGGAGCAGCAGAAGATAAATCCAAAGACAGGACTAAAGAAAAGTATATCCACAGCATGACCCAGGAATGGGATGTAAGCCCTGAGCTGGAGTTCCTGGAGCCATGGATAGAGGCAGTGGATAGGAGTCCCAGGAGAGGCTGGCCAAGACAATTAAGATCTATCAGTGCCAGCAGGGTTGCCCACTGCCCATCTGCTCCTAATTTAAACAGGCAATAGATACAGCTTGTACACTGGATGAAAAGAGGTTTGCATGGAGACAGCAAAGCCTGGGATGCAGAGATTTTTCCAATGAGAGCAGCACTGTAGCACCTCATCTTATGACCCACCCCTGAAGGCAAGGTAAATGAGATTCTTGTTAATAGACTCCTTGGGGCAGATTAGAGTGAAATGTCACTGAATTACTGATGTTTATATATACATGTGTGTATGTATGTATCTATATAGGATTTATTTTAGAGCAATTTGGTTGCACAAATCCAGAGGCGCTCTGCAGAACAAAATCATCTACAGGGGTGGATGTCAGCCCCTGGGCAGAGAGGAGCACAAGGTGCTGTGGCAGTGAGTACCAGCACAGTGCCTCTGCTCTCCAGGCATTTTATATTTAAGGATGACCTACCAAGCTGCCCAGCTGGTGTGAAGTGGTGGTTTTCTTTTTGTTAAAGAGTAACAGATAGCTGAGTGGATCTTTATAGGCTGCTTTTTAGATGCAGTGAGTAAATACCTGAAGCACTCCTATTTGTATCTGAGAGGTTCTGACAGATCCTATTGCCAAAGTAATTCCTCTTGTCCTCACAATTTGTATGTGACAGCTTTATTTCTGTACATACATAGTGCTCTAGTGCTCCTCTCTCAGCATGGTACTGTAAGCTGGTTCTTATACTAACTGCAGCAGCATGGGATTTGAGCTTACACAGTCCAAATGAGAGGTGGATCTGTGATCAGGGACATGCAGAAATGGGGATTTCATTTGGCTTAGGAAGGCTTTCAGGCCACAGCAAGAACCAGAAGTTTAGTTCTTCTTGCTAGTACCTTGGTCATACACAGAGGAGGAAAGTTTATTTAATTTTGCCTTTGAAGAAGTGTGAGATTAGATGAAACTATAACAGCTAGTTTTTAAAAAATCATTTCAGTTCAAGCTTCATTAAACAAAAAATTCTTTAAGAAAATCAGGCACAGGTTTCCACACATGAGAACCTTAGCAAATACTAGGAAATCGTTAGTGCAGATCTGTTTTGCCTCTGGTAGTCAAATCCTGGTCTAGCATGAGAAACCTGCAAGATTCCACCTCCAGGGAAAACAAAAAGTCTGATGTTGGAGATGAGAGTCTGGGGAAACTCTGGGCTCAGGGACCTGTGAGTGTTTCTTAGGCAGTAGATGTCTATACATAATATTTTGCCAACACATGGGCTCAGAGTTGACAGCGGGGTATTGAGATAACAAGCCTCGGTGAGAGGGAGAGCACGCAAGCTGGGAAGCAGAAGCCCACTGGGGCCATGTGAACATTGTTCATAGAGCTTCATATCAGTTTGGAGCAAGTGACAGAGTGCCTTGCATCTGTTTGTAGTATATTTTGTAGACATATCCCCAGAGAGATTGGAGAGGCAGCTTCAACCAATATCATAGGGACACATTTTCAAGAACACCTCTGTTGAAAGTAAGTTCCTGCAGCTCTAACTGTGACATACTTGTCTGGACTTGGAGTGAAAGCCACTGTGAGAAAAACAAGAACAAATCCTCCCTATTTTGGATCATGTTTTTAAAACTCCATTGCATTTAGCCATGGTTCCTAAAATGACACCTGCTGACCTGCCTGTTAATAACAACAGTAGAAAGCTAATCTTCCTGAAACCTCACCCCAGTTCAAAGTGCATTTCGAAAAAACTGTGTTTATGTGCACACTAATCAAAAATATCAACCTGCCTTTAGTTTTATTACAAATGCAGGGATCACAGTGAACTGCTCAATTACAGCACTACACAAATTAGTAATTCTTCCATAAAATAGCCTGGACTCTTATGCATGGGGAAAATACAAATGGAGCTGTTCACTAGTCTGCTGATGATCCCCTTACTTTATTCTTTCAACCATTAGCCAAACCTGAGAGGCTTTGAAGTATCAGCTGTGATAAGCTGTTTGACACTGCTGTCAGTGTCATGCCCAAGATGTCATTCATCATTCCCAATGAAAAGTGACAGTCTTGTGATTAAACTATTATTTCATTATAAAGATGAGGAGTCACGTTTACTTATAATTAACATGCAGGCCTTGACAGGCCAGACATTTGTAGCAAAATTTCAAATTATCAGCATAAAAAAAAAGGATTTATTAATTTCAAATTAATATTTATGAGGTGGGTGAGTAGTTAAATTTTGCTTCCTTCAGTGGGAAATTGTTCTATAAAGGAATAGCTGTCCTCTTTCATGGGAGAAGTATCCAAAACAAAACTTGTGAATACACGCAGGGGGTTTTTCTGCGTCTGTTATTCTTGTTCAAATGCAGGGGAGAATCACACACTGTCAGAAGAGTGCTTTGGAAGCTGCTTTCCACAAGTTTATTTCCCACTAAATTGGTTAAACTCAGCACAGAGAAATCTCAGTCCAGCAATTAAGAGTCTGAGCAAGTCTGAGAGGCTGCCTGTGCTTGCCGCAGCGGACGGAGCTGGTGAGAGCAGTCACAAGAGGAAGAGCTGAGCTGGAGCTGGGCTCAGCTCCTGGCTCGGAGCGGCTGCCGCTGTGGCAGGGATGCTGTGTGCAGCCCTGCACTGCAGAAGGGATTCCTGTGGGAAGCAGGACACTCCCCGTGCTGTGCAGGTGCAGGTAGCCGCTCTGGAGGATGTCTCATGGCACACTCCTGTTCCCCCGTGCTGTGGCATGCAAAGAGATGCCAGGACACTGCTGCACACAAGGAAACACAGTAGTTTTTTCCCTGGGAAAGAAGAGGCACAGAGAATCACGAGGTAAACGTAGGCACTGAAGTTTTCTCAGCCTCATGCCTGCACTTGAGCCTTTAAGCCAAGCAGACACAACCTGAATACATTCAAGGAAGCTGCTTTCCCCTTTAAACACAGCTGCAGTTTGAGAACAGACAGGGAATGAACAGGGTAATCATTCTGCCATGCACTATCAGCTGTTATTGCCAGTGAGGTCTTTGCTAACCACTCTAATTCCTGAAACAGCTACAAGAAAATGGGATCAGTAAAGTACCAATTGTTCATTTAAATTGCAGGGAAGGAATCCAGACTGTAACAATATTTGCAGAAACAAGCTACAAAGGAACACAGGTAGCAATAATTAATTCCCAAATCCCGCCTTTTGTGCAGACTGACCTGGATGAACAGAAAATAACTGAAACCTGAAAGAACAACAAATTGTTTCTTCAAAAACATCCTCTGATGAGGTGGACTGTACCAGGAGAAGGAAGCAATTCTGCTCATTCTGCCCACATATGAAGCTGAATTTTTGCTTCATTAGTCTGAATCACATCCAGCTTGGATAATACTGAAGGAGTGTTTACTGGAGGAAGGCTGTTGTGCCTACACATAACTCTTCCACGGATGAAATAGAAATCAGAAACTGAAAGCAAACAAAGAGGCCTTTGTTGAGATGACACATCTGTACACAGGAAAGAACTGAAGATTCACCAAGCTACATGGCAATACCATTCTTTTTTATTTGTTCATTCATGCAGCTAGAGTCATGATATTTAATTCATCACTTAAAATGCTTTTACCTCACACAAGTGATTTTCAGATAGTGGCAGATAATTCATCCCATGCTGGATAGCTTCATCACTGAGATTCACTGCAAGTTACACGGTTTCTTATCTTGCTCTCTGCAAAGTGCATCAAAATTGTGCAGTTAAAAATAAAGAGGGATCTCAAGGACTCTTCAGTCTGCCAGCTACAGCAGTGGTTTGGAATCTTTACTCACTGAGAGCCAACAGGAGATACCCTGAAGATGATGATACAGAAGCTTTTTGGAATTGGTGGGATAACTCACTTCAAGTGGAGAAAACTTGGACAACTCAGTGCAAATAGTTTTATGACATAAGCACAAGTTCTTCTACACTGAAAAAGAGAATTATCAACTCTTACACAACCCACAGAATATTCATAATAGTAGTAGGTGACTAACAGAAGTAGAAGGGTCATAAAATTTTGTTTTCCACCATGACTGCACCTCCTGAAAATTGAAACAGCAGTGGTCACTTAGCAAGTGCTGAACAGGCATCAGCTACTGAACATTCATTTCATTTGGAAGTCCTTTGTTGTGGCTCCCTCTTTAGATGAATTTAATGTAGAAGTTGCAACAGCAACTGTGCCAGTATCAAAACTCTTGGGGGCTGAGACTCTGAAAGGAGCCATTCCATCATGTCAGAGTTTATTCTCTCTGGAAACTCTGGCTGCTAATTAGCTGCAACATTTCTGACAATGGACCACAGCTCACCAAGGTCCTTTCCAAGTGCCTGTTTTCTCAGAGTTAGTGTATTTCCATGGCTTAAAAGAAAGGTGACTCCTTTAACAGATTCTCCATCTTGGCAGCAGTTTTCTTATTTTGCACTAGCTGTTATTTTATCAGGCATATGGTACAGTAAAGATTGGTATTAAAGAGATGATGGTGATGTTTAGGTCAGTATTTAATCTTGGAAACATTTTCTGTCAATTAGGGAGGTTAGCACATACGCTGGGACAGATTTTCAGTTGGAAGACACCGTAAAGTAGCATTACTGTAAGAGATTACTTCAACTGAGATCATGTATTTCAGCAAGAGTAAGCTGATTTGCACTGGCAGAGAGCTGATCTTATGTTATAAAAATTTGCTCCTAGTCCTCTGTGCTCTAGAATTCACTAGGATACCTGGTACTTCTTGGTCCTCTTGTAATTCAGATCAGCATTCCCATCAACTTCAGTACAGCACATCATCTGAAAAGGGCACTGCCATGCTCAGTCTGGCCAAATGTAAGATTTTAATGCCTACCTCCCCTTCCCCAGTGGAATGCCATCTTTTCATAGCATCCTTTGCATCTGTTCTCATAGGGATGTGGGTGCTGTGCAACTCTAATGCATTTGAAAATCTTGCCCTTACATAGTAAGACTTCTTGACCTCTAGAAAGAAGATTTTAAACCACACAAATGTTAAAATAGTTACATCTCCATCTCAAGACATGATGCCCCTTAAAGGTTATTTTTAAATAATTGGGCCTTCAAAAGCTGTCTGGTTTTGACCAACATTAAGAATCTACTCAGGAGATATGAATTCTTCTTTTCACAGAAGCTCTTCATTGTAGTGCTTAAGTTGCATTTACATTAGAGACACCTCCTACTTACTAAAAGTAAGAGTTCTCCCTTATCACTGCTTACAAGCACTGCTGCAGTCAGGGACTTAGAGAAATTTTAAGTTTCATTCAAACTATGAACCACCTTCTTCTCTAAAATGCCAAAATCACTGCTAAAAGACGCTTTAATTCTTCCTTTAATCAAGACAGAGATTCTCTCTTATGTTTTGTACTAACCACTCCCCTCAGGATTACTCCAGTAAAAAGCACTTACCAGAGAGCTGCAAGATTTGAGTGACCTCACAAAGGAAGGCAAGCTGGGAGCTGGGGATGGCCACAAGTTGAGCAGGGCAGTGACCTGAGTGACTGGGCATGGCCCTGACCTGTGTGAGCTGGGCAGCCCAGGCAGTGACAGCTTCTATCAGCACTCCAGAAACCATAAGGGAATGCAACAAGTCAGGTCTGCTGTCAACCCAGGAAACCTGAGCAACAATCTGGGGGCAGAACTGAAACAGGTACACTTACAACTTTGTTCAGACCAAGACTGAAGGGCTGGGCTTGAGACTGTATGGAGTTCCTGGACAATAAACAGCCAGTGAGGATGGAGGAACCTGGTGAAGCCTCTTGTCAAGGGAGGGGATTGTCCTGCTCTGCCCTGCACTGGAGTGACCTCACCTTGAGTCCTGTGTGCAGTTTTGAGTGCCACAATATCAGAAAGATACTGAAACTATTAGAGACTGTCCCAAGGAGGGCAACAAGGATGGCAAAGGGCCTTGAGAAGAAGCTGTGTGAGGAATGGTTGAGGTCACTTAGTCTGTTCAGTTAGGAAAAGGTTCTTCACCCAGAGGGTGGTTGGGCACTGGAACAGGCTCCCCAGGAAAGTGGTCATAGCTCCAAGCCTGACAGAGTTCAAGAATCATTTGGACAATACTTTCAATCCCATGGTGTGGCTCTTGGGGATGGTTCTGTGCAGGGCCACGATCTGAACTCAGCATATTCTGTGATTCTGTAATTGTGTAATTAGAGATCATTGGTATACCCTGGACTCTAACAAAATGTGAAAGAATACAGTTCTTAATTACAGCATGACCAATTACACAGTATGAACAACAGATTCAAATAAAACTTAGCAATTATTTCCTGTAGGCTGAAATATAGCTGAATAAAATGCCTGCTTAATAATTTAGAAAGATGGGAAAAAATAGTCTTGTTTGCAAACTGAACAGCACAAAGGCTTAAAGGGGTTAAATTAATCAAATAAATTATTAATTACAATTAGCTCATCCATTAGAGTGGTGCATCTAAATGCACCAGCAAACATCAGGGTCCTTTACATTGATCCCAAAAGAGACATTTCAAAGTACAGACACCATCCTATAGGGACTAGAAGAGACAACCTCCTTCAACTGAGTGTCTCACCACCAGTTTTCCAGCATCAAACTGCTCTTCTTCTACCTGGTATAGTAAATAATTGTTTTCTACAAGTGAGAATATTCCTTCGGTAAGAGTTACCATGAATATTGCTCAACAAGACCCTGCAACCTTGAGGTTAGGCACATTCTGGAAATTGGAGGGTGGAAGAATGAGGGGAAGAACATTTGGGGCAAGATCCAAAGTGAACCAAGACCATTTGCTTCTTCTGTAAAGAATCTAACACTGGAAAGGAGCACTAACAGGATAGTAAGTGTGGATTGTTTTTTGTCCTGAATATTCTCTTTTGGAAGCAAAGGAACAAGCATTCCTTTTTCAAACACTGAATATGGAGAGTGGGAAGATGTTCCCCAGAAGCAGTTAGTCACCCAGGTCCTATGAAAGTTGGATTGATAGGTCAATGGTTATCACCCCCTTTCCCTGCCATATGTGTCCAATATATGCAGGTAGGTGATGGGATTGTACATTGTGTCCATGGAAAGAGAGAGCTCAGGTCTCAAAGTGGCCATTACAGCACTCATCCTGGAAAAAAACTTAGGTCAGCAGCTTTGAGTTTCAATGACAGAGCAAGGACCAGAGTGCAGGTCCCACAAGTCACAAACCAGTGCCTGATTCACTGGACCACAACCCAGATTGCTTAAGAAAAGGTCTTAAAATATATGTAGCATGAAGATTTTACATGTTACTCTATCAGATCAATAGGACAATTCTGCAGAACTATGTTCTACTAAAACTCAAAAGACTGATTAGAACAAAAGTTTCAATAGTATATTTTTGTGATACCATTTATTATCCTGCACGGTTTGACATAGTGTAGTATATTGCACCTATAAATCAGTTGCAGCAAATTATTTAATGATGCATTAACTGTGGAATTTCACATATATTACAGTCCTTTAGCCAATGTTGAATGCTTTTTCAACAGCTTAATCCATCCCTGAAGTACTAAGCAGGCATATTCATTCATCATCAAGGTGCACATAGTCTTCTCTGATCTTTTTATTTTATTAAAGCCCTCGATCTATAAGCATGACATTAAATAATTCCCCAGAACCTTTTATTCACAAGATTCCCACCACCCTCCTCACACTTCTATTGGGAAAAAAAATAAAAATATTTTCATTCCCTATTAGGTTCTTTTTGTCCTTTGGCACAGGTTAAGCCTGGCATTGATTTGGACAACACTGTGGAGAACTGACCCACTGGTGCTCAGCTGACAAGACATAAGAGAAGATGGAGTTACTGAATGGTTCCTTTCCTTCAGTCTTTACTGCTAAGGTCAGCCCTCAGGAATCCCAAACCCTAGAGGCAAGAGAGAAAGTCTAGAGAAAAGAAGAGCTGCCTTCTGTCAAGGAGGATTGGGTTAGTGATTGTATAGAAAAACTGGATACCCACAAGCTCAAGGGTCCACAAAAAGTTCCTCCGTTTGGGGAAAATCCTTACAGTTGTTAGCTGTTAGAATCACCTTTCCAAGCATATTCCATTTCCTCCAGGTCCTGCATAAAACCACTTCAAATCCTGGAGAGCAGTGTGGAAAGTGATGATTGATCTTCCTTCTGCCACTTGTCACTGCTAGAAGAGGAAGAGAGAATAACTCGCTTGTGGCTGTTCTTCTTGGCAATTGTCTTTCCATTCACCTACAGAGATAAATCCTGCCGTGGCAGAACATAGCCTTAAGGAAACTCTTCTGTACAGTATGGAATGTTAACATTGTATTTCATCATCATATAACATTGGTTTTTGAAGGTACTCCCCTTCAGCTGGTACCTCTTTTACTATAATATTAGTTCTAAATTTGCTGTGTGCTTTTTCTTCTACCTATTCTTTGTGTCCTCACCCTGGTGGTAATTTGTGCAGATCCTACCAGCTCTTTCTTTACTCTTCTAGTTCTTTCATACTCTTCTTTATGCAGAGTAACAATGACATGAGGACAAGTTGGATCATGTTGCTTTCTTTTTCTACTTTAGAAATGGAGCACAAATGCCTGAGGCATTATTCCTGGGCCTGGATACCCTTCTTAGGAAAAGCCTCAGGATACTGTTTGATAAATGGAAGCATTTTGGAAAATCAGTGTGGTTTCTAAGAGGGAAAATTGGGGTAGAGCTCTAGAGAAAATAAGGAAAGCAAAAGCTTGTAATTCAACAGCATACAGGGAGAAAAGGTCACCCCAGCTGCCTTCCTCACAACCACTGTAGAAAGAAGGCAGAAGGGACAAGACCTGATTTCCTCAACCACAAAGCCTCCCTTTTCAGAGGAGTCAGGAGGATGTCTCCAGCCAGTGTGTTATCCTAGCAGGATGTATGCACACTGTCCTAGCAGGAGAGACTGAGCTGAGTTACAGCTGCAGACTTCTCACATCACCTGTGCAGCACACACACACAAACACGTCTGTAAGAGGCAGGAAGCAATGCTGTAGCATTGTAGCAACAGTGTGAGAAAGGTCAGAAAGAGAGTTTGTAGGAAGGGAAAGTGACTCACCTCGGCTCCCTAATGCCACAAACTCACAAGTACCAAGATGTGTGCATGCAAACAGGGTTTAAAGCAGTCAGGCACTAAGAGACTGAGATATGAGAATGGTCATCATTCTCATGATGACACAGAGAATGAGGAACAATGGCTATCCAGTCCACCTTAACATCTTAGGACGATGACCACTGGTTGGATTTTGATGGGCTTTTTTTTTAACCCTGCAGGATCTGGCAGTGATTCCACCATTAAAACATCTCACCTTTCATGCTCATATAAACAGTCAAGAAAATTTCCGAAGACAAAATATTTCTTAAGGAAATAGCTGCCCTCCTATAACCATTTGTCCCAGATGTACATACTTTAATGAGTGCTGTCCAAGGGATCAGAGCTTACTTATTTGTGCTGAAAACAAAACAAGTGACAGCATTGCTTTTGGAGCCCCCCAAATCCTCCTGATACTCAGGTACTTTCCTGAAGGTCAACAGAAAATAATTCAAGGATCACAGTTTAGAACCAGTCAAAACTATTAGTTGAGTACTTTTAGGCAAATTATTCCTCCTGCCTCGTGAAGGATTATGTTTTGCACCTTTCCAGGTGTTCCTGTCTTATCCAATGAAGTAACTTCTAACCTGACAATTTGGGTATTCATCTCAGTTAAGCATATTCTCCAATGTGTCACTGAGCTGGTAATCCATCTCCTCCTTTCCTTTTCACTGGGTATGGAAGGTTTAATAATTGACACTTTATACAGTCAGTATTAAATCATGTTGGCAGAACTCCTCATTTATAGGTCTCAAGACAATCCATTTCTCTCCCTCCGAGTGAAAGGGGTAGAGGAGTAAGGAGAAAGAAGTCAATCTCTACCCCTGAGAGTATGTGATTTTCCAGTGAGAGGGTGGGAGAAAGGGGGAAAGCTGTTCTACTCTTGGATAGAGCCTCGAAAAACAAGTGATAGCAAAGTCCTGGTCCAGCCTCAAGTAAGCACAAGGCACCACTTGCATCTAGTTCAGTGCCACAGCTTTCTTCCTTTAGCCAAGGGTCAGCAAATCCAGGGCTGACTCAGACCTTTCCCAGATACGTATAGATCCACAAAGACTTTGTGCACAGGCAACGAGATAAAGAGAAGAGCTGAGCAGGAAAGAATAGAATACAAGAGCTGAAATGAGAGCCTTGGCTGGTTTTGTGAACCTCCTGCTTGCAGACTGTAGTGTGCCAGGCCAGGCCAAAGAGCTCATATCACAGAATGGGTCAGGATGGAAGGGATTGCAGTGGGTCATCTGCTCCAGCTTCCCTGCTCAAGAAGGGCCATCCCAGAGCACACTGACCACATTGCACAGGACTGTGTCCCTCCACCGCTGTGCCTGCTCTGTTCATGCTGCTGTCAGGGTGCCCTCAGGACCAGGGACATCCCTTCCCTCCTGTGCTGGCTGGAGCACTGGCTCACATCTCATCAGCTGAATAAGGTCAGTTGCTTTCTCCCCACTTACAGTTGTGCAGACTGCCTAGCTATTTCTATTCTTGTCTCACACCTCTTTGTCTCTCTGTGATCTCCCTAGGCTGAGAAGTAAATTATTTTCACTGCCCACATAAGTTCTGCCTTCCCCGTTTTCCCTTTCCCTCCCAAGCCTGTGTTCTCCTTGTGCTTGGCCTATGAAGTAAATATCTTCTAGGTGGCATCATACAAGGCACCCAAGGCGTCTCCTCGGTCCTGTCTGGGCAGTAGGTGCCCAAACCATGCAGTTCCTGTCTCTCTACAGGCACAAGTGCATCATCACCTTCTTAACAGAGAAATTCACAGAACAGTTCTAAAATGGCACTGTGCCTAAAAGCCAAAGTTTCTAGGCACCCATCTGGAATTAACACCTGGTTACCTCTGGAAGTCAGCTTTGAATGTTCCCTAGTGGATCTTTCCCTTCTTATGTCCTCTGTTTGCTGAAAGCCACTGAGATTATTATTCGGAAATTTACCATTTGAGTCATCTCTTTCCCTGGTAAAATTTGCTTTATAGTTTCGCAAACAGGAAGATTTATTTTCCCTCAAAATAAATATTGATAAACTTACTTCAGTCAATATTTACTATTTGGTTATCGGAAGAAGCAAAAAAAAAGTCTAGCCCAAAGTTTAATAGAGTTTGATGTCTGTTTTTTATCTGCACTACAAACACAATATCATACTGCTATCTTGGCAGAAGAAGGAAAATTCGTTTTTATTCATATTACTGAAATGCTATGGGGCACTTTGAAGCAGGAGAATGATAGGAGCCCGAGGCTTGTGCACCAGTCACATTTTTTACAGCCAGCAGCCTTGTTTTGGTTATTAGGGGGGAATACTGAGGTGTGAGTTAAATGTGACCTGTCACTTCTGTTCTAAAAGGCTGTATCTCCATAACATCTCCATAACACAGACGCTCTCCTCTTATTCCAGAAGTAGATGTTTCACAAGCATCCTAAACACCACAGTGCTTGCTTATGGAGCTCTTCACTGTGCTCTGTGAAAACATGTGCACTAATTTGACCTGGCATAAATTCATAATTCCTGACACCTAGAAAATGAACATATTACCTTATTAAATGCTGCTCTCCCACAAATGCACAGACCAGCTGTTTCTTCTCTCCACTATTGAACTGTAGCAAGCACTTTCTGGAGGAAAATTAAAAGTAATGATTACAATCAATTAAAAAAATTCAATTTAAATTCTGCTACGTGGGGAACCACAACATATTTTTTAAATGTTGCCTTGTATTCTTTTTAAAGTTCCTACATATTACATTGGATCCCCAATAGATAAACCCAATGGGATCCCAATAGATAAAATAGATAAAATAACTTCCTGCAAAAACACAGGTTTGTTTACTTTGGAGAAAGTGCATACATCTATGCAGAAATGGAAAAACTGACTGGAGCAATATGGGACACCATGTGAGTGAAACAAAAGATATTCTGGTCTTTGGGGTGTGTGTGTGACACACACACATGCACACATCCTCCCTTTCCTGTCCCTGAGGGACAATGTCATTTGTCATCAGATAAGAACGCTAGGTGTGTATTAATTATGTTCACATAATTAATGCTTCCAGAGGTGGGGGAGTCGAGATGTTTGTGATTGACTTGGGTGCACACTGGTCTGCAAAAGGGTATAAAAACCTGATGGGCCCATGGAATGGAGTGGTCTCTCCAGGCTGCGAGTAAAAGCACTAAGAGCTGGACAAATACAGAGATAAAATCCTAAAATAGCTCCATAGGTGCTTTGCTGCTTTTTAATTGTGATTTCTGCAAGGCCAAAGACTGTAAACCTGTAATCGATTAGTTGTTATTTAGATACTGCATTATCAATATTTAGATACTGTATTAGCAATACATCTTCTCCTAATCATCCAAGTAATCACTGTGTCCTACTTGTCCCACCTGGCTGAGACCCTTCTCCTGACTACTCTGCTACACACTTCTCTTCCTAAAATAATCTGAAACTGTGGTGAAATTTAAAAATAACCATTTCCTCAGGCAGTGGATGATGACTAAACTCTCCACAAGATGGCTGAAATTCAGCCATCCCATACACCTATCTGAGGGCTCTGATCAAGTCAAAAGAGAATTTGAAATACTGAAACAGTTTCAACCAATATCAAGAAATTACACTCCTTTGCCAGTTCTGGTAATTTTTCACAGTTCAGCATGGAATACTTCCTGCACATTAAATATTTTACCTATGGCTAGCACTGAATTGCACCCAAAGAACATTTTCAGTGCAACCAGGGGATAAAAATTACTGCTTTGCAGGGTTATTGATGCAGGCAGGCAGCAGGTGTCATTCCTGCCCACACACCCCCTGCTTTTTCTTCTTGTTTTGTAAAGTATGGATTTTTAATGGATACTTTTCCTTTGTATTTTAGCAACTTTGACTGTAGAAAGCAGAAACCATGTCCTGATAAATATGTATTCAGCAAGAGCGCTTTACCTGGCAGAACAAATCACTAGCATTGGAGCCAGCATGCAAATCTTGATTTACAACCACCATCAATGCTTGCCAAGTGACAGCTCTGATGAAGGCAGCCAGAACCACTTCTGTTTGTTGTTCTCATTTCAACGCATCCTTCCTTCTCCTTTGCAACTTTCCTTCTGCAGGGGTGTGTTTGTCAGCGTGCTTTCGCTAAGATTTGTGTTCCAGTTACGCGCTCGGCTTCAATCACACGGTGATTGCTGCTGGTCCACAAGTGACGTCTTTTTCTGGGTGCTGTTCTCCCACTGGCTTGGCTTTAGGTGACCTTGGCTTCATTGGTATTCAGTCAGTGTCACAGATGGGCTTGCTTCAGCTGCCTGGGCCCCGGTGAGCAGGTGGAGAAATGACCGGTTGGAAATGAGTTGTTAAGACCAGTACAGCAAAAAGATTGATGCAATTAATTTTTCATTACGTACAGTGTCTGTGGATTGTAATCAGCTCGGATTGTTCTTCCTCTGAGGCACAAATAAAATGCAAATGGTTTTTGAATGAAAGGAAACATTCCTTATGAGGCACTGCGCTATTCAGAGCTGCAAAATGGCTTGAAATAAATGGGGATTATGAGGAATGTTTTATGAATCCACCAAGGAGAACTTAATATTAAGTTTCATATGGGAAAACCACAGGTGAGTTTCCCATCAGATGAACATATTACTGCTCAAGCAACTGGAAACAAGAAAGAGACAAAGGCTTTAAGCCTTATTTAATACTACTAATACCTAGCTCTTTCCAGGAGGAGATGTCAATGCTCTTCACAGCAAAAGTACTTGTCTTACAGATGGGTTAAAAGTGTCTTTACCAACCTCCCCTCTCATCCTTACAGCAAGGAGTAGAAGGAACGTGTGCTGTGCCCTGTCAAGTGCTTTACCCCTTGGTGACACTTTTGATCATGGCAGCAAACAGTGCAGCTCTGAACCATTCACACTGCACAGCATCCAGGTGCACAGAACTCTTGTACCGTGAAGTCCTTCAGAGGCTTGGCCAGAGAGTCTTAACAGGAACATGCTATAGAGAATAGGGTGGTAAATCTGGAAACAAAAATCAATTCTGCATTTCCCCCGGAACAGAGTGACAGGGACATCTTGGCAGGAGAAACGGGTCATTTTCTCACGAGCGCATGCAGGGTGAAGAGGAAGGAACTGGGAGGGAATACAGCAAGATTTTATTGCCTGCAAAACATGAATGGCTTTGTTGTCAAGGGAATTGCCAGCAATGCCAAGGCAAGGGTTTTGCTAGATTTACACTATATTTTGTGCAGCCAGTTCTTCCTTCTGGGCATTGCTATAACATAAGCACATTTGAAGACTTTAAAGGCCCCATAAACTACTGGATAAAAGGCTGAAGTGGCCACCCACCTATGTCAGTCAGTAGAGCATAGAATTTCTGATCCTCTGGTATAGGAAGCCCTAAAAGTGCCACTCTCTCATCAGAAGTAAGAAGTGACTGGCTCCCATAAATTCTACACAGGCACATGTGTTTAAAATCATCGATCAAATCCTGGTGATACCAGTGAGCCATACAACTTCATTCACACCTTGGGGACAGTGTTCTTCTTCTGTTGCTTTCTAAGAATTTAGCTAGACTGTCAGGCTAGGAGATGAAGACTCTGACAGCTACATGCACCAACAACTCCTGCTGGAGGAGCCCAAGTTGTGTGTGCCATTGCTCAGGTCAGCAGGGGTTGTCACTGTTGGGCACTAATGGAGAGATCTGCTCCACTGAAGTCAGTGTTAATTCTGTTGACATGATTCACAGAAAGACTACACCAAAGATGACTGACTTGGGAAATCCCAGCACATTTTTTCCCTTACTTTCATTTTAAGGCGCGGCTGTTTGGTTTCACAGTGCGTATTAATTTAAACCTGATTCATTTCAGCTGGTTGTGGAGGAGGCTAATATCCAAAACCTGATGTTTGTGTTTCTAAACAAAAGAAGAAACATTTAAATTTCGTATGATCCAGTACTTTCCTTTCTTTCTTTGCATTCTCAAGCTCTAACAAAAGTGGGTGGATATCAGCTGATACCAGTAAGCACAATTCCATGAGCCCTTTATGCTACCTTTGAAAGATCTCACTCACCAGATTTATCTGGGCTCAGTGTCAGCTTTACACAGCTCTTGCTAAAGTTTAAACATCATCCAGGAACCAAATTATATCAAAGATATTTTAGCGCAATGAAGACCTATTCTGGCTTGGAACCTTTACAACTCAACACAGCACAACACAGATGAAAACACCTTAAAATTTGTGGATAACTAAGCACAATGTTTTCAAATTTCATTTGGCTTATACAGTACACATTTTCTAAGACTTCAAGGAACATCATACTCAACAGCTAAAAAACTATTTCATGTCCTGCAAAAGACATGTATGCCAAAGTCAGTTCACTGCTAAAAAATATGCACTTGTGTAGATTAGAAATTGGGATGAACAATCAGAATCTGGATTTCTTGGTGGTTTAAAACAAAAGTGAACACAGACTTTTGATAATACTATTGCAGGATATGTGGCATTTTTGTAAATAGGAGGAAATGAACACTCAGGAGAGAATAGAGGCAGTATGAACCCAATTAAAGCCTTAGTGGTTGGGAAATTTGAAAGCAAGTCTGTCAGTCAGCCTAGGTCATGTCAGGGCTGTGAAGTGTAATATAGATCCACCTCTGCCCCACAAAACCATCTGTCTATCAGCAAGGCCACTGGCCTTTTCTTCATGGCATGATTTGAATGCATTGTGGGGTTTTTGGGGTTTTTTTTGTTTGGTTGGTTGGTTTGTTTTTTTGTTGTTTTGTTTTGTTTTGTTTTCAAAAAATCTCTAACCTCATCTGAACTCTTTCCCTTCACTCTCCTCATTTTCTTTTATGCTCTCACTCTGCCCTTCAAAATCATATTTAATTAGTTTCTGGCCTTAGCTGGAGACACTTAGAATAGTTTTTTTCTTTATCTGCATTTTCATTATAGACTTCTTTGAAATAAGACTCTTTTGTCACAGTCTCTTTGATCGATATCAACCTAGAGCAAACATGCCAACGTGCATAAGAGTCACAGATCTGAAGAGCTAAACAGCTACAGCCTAGAAGCCTTTCAGGACAGGGAGAATATTTTGAGTGGAATTTCCTGCACATCAGAAAATCCTAGTGTCACTGCAACATTTTTTGGATTCACAAGATATAAAGCAAATATTTCATATTTATATATGTTTGATTTTAAAGGAAACAGTATGTTGAAAGGAATAACTCATCCTGGGCTTGCTACTAGTCAGTTTTTGCAGTTTAGATGGAAACTTCCTGACTGTATGTAAAATGATATTAAATCATGGCATGAATGTTCGTTTAGTTTTAAGGATCTAATTGCAAAAGAAGCATCTGTGAAATTTATTCCTCTCCATAATGCAAAAAACTCTACTTGTTTTTGGGTTTTTTCTAGAGAGTGGCCAATAGCTGATGTACCAAGGATAAGCCCAAAGCAAGATCAAAGTAGTATTTCCCAGGTACACTAAAGCTTACAGTAATCCAAGACATAAGGCTCCATGAATGGGATGTGGTGATGCAATTAGCACTCTCCAGTGGCTTTTCTATTTTTCTTAAACTTATTCAGTCACTTTTTGAACCTTTGTAAGCTCTTAGAACCCACACCATACATCCAAT